TGAATTGGTCATGATCTCGCAAGCAATTTGAACATGCGAATGTTAATGTGTGACTGTTTGCAGTTTGTTCTGAATGTCCGATTGAGGAGTTTCAGTAGTCAAACAAAGATACAATCTGCAAAATTTGAACTGAACACTTTGTGGCTTTTAGTCGATCTATCGTGATACTAGTACAATAAATATATATTTTAATAAGCATAATATGATGGTGCTGACCCGATGGTAACGTCACCAGATTATCACCTCGGGGATGTGTGTTGAAATCCCAATACCACCGGCTGACATTCCGCTTTGTGTGTGTGTGTGTTGAATGGCCGCTCTCTGATTGACCGCTTCCGCTTTCCTGAAAAATTGTATTTCTGTATGTTCATTAAAACAAAGTAAAATAAAAAATAAAAAAGAAAGAATCATTAAGACAAACGTTTGGCCACAATTGCATATTGGTGGCTGAGAAGAATTGAAATAGAAACTTTCCAGACAATCGCCCAATATCCTACTGGTACAGTGCAAAATCGATGGAGACAAAATATACACTGTCGTCTTTTTTCAGCAATCTCAACAACCTGCATACCTTGATCCATAAAATATTCAAATCGGTTTCAAATTTTTCGTTCTCTCACATGGATCAATCATTTTGTTCACCAAATGTTTTGGAAATGGTAAAAAAATGAAAGTGGGGATGGTTACCATGTGACCGGGTGAAAAACAATTCACCAGGTTCTTTTAAAACAGACCAAAGAAACTACGAAATTACAAAAGCGGGAACAGATTCTGGTAAAATGGATATTCCGAAGACGTTTACGAACTAGCCCAACGTCGCATTTGCACATTGTCATTTTCATTTAAAAAGATGTCACTCAAAAAACAAAACACTTGAAAACTAAGAGTTGTTTCTAATCCGTCTATAGACTCATTCCGTCCAAATTTACTTTTACATCTCCACGCAATACAGAATGTGATCATGAATGTTCTATTGTACTTCACACTGGAAATACAAATTGGCAGACCTCTGTTGTAAAAAGACTCTGACTGGAATGAACACTTTCAATTTAAACCGCAGTAATTTCGTTTATTGGTAATCAAAACGGTAGGGGATGCGTTTTTCGGAATTTTGACTGGTGCATAAACTTCAAAATATCCTTCATTTAAAGATCACCAGATATATGTGATGAAATTATTCCCATCACTTGCAGATTTTGTCCGCTCCGAGGACGTTTCAGTCAATACCTCTGGCCCAAATAGCTTTCGCCTTTTCAAATAGATTACATAGAAAATGCCTTACGGTTAATTATCAGGCACGTGGATTTTGTGATTTCTTCTGTGATTTCACGTGTCCAATTCTTGAGCATCATAGTTTGCATCCGTACTTGAAATTTTATTCTCATCGAAGTTGGTTCCCTTACTTTACCTTGAGTTTAGTTCTGGTATCTTAATAATATCAACACTAAAAGGAGATATTTATAGCCCACACCTCCCCCCCCTCTGCGAACATATTGACAATTTCCCGATTTGGATTAACCGGAAACACCTGTATCTTTGGTGGTAGGTAGCTTCGCTGTCGTTCGGTTAAATGCCACGCCTAACCTATCGGGGCCTTATGCGGTTCGCCACTCCAAGTCCTGGGACTTAGGTTGCCGGTTTACACCACTGAACAGCAGGTTCTCGTGACTATGGGCTTCTCCTCGTCTGCTGTTCATCACACTTAGGTGTGTAATAAAAAAATTAAAAAAATCTTTTGCTAACAATTTTGAGATGCTACTGACCTAAATTGTTCACGCCTCTTAACCACAGCAATGCATCTAGTACTGCAGTACAATAATAGGTATCATACCTTTTCATCCACATTTCCATTACTCTCTACCTCCCTCCCGCCGCTGGCAGTAAAATCACACACACAAAATTCCGTTGTAGTTTTCAAACATGGTACCCTTTTGGGTAACCTTGAATCCACAACAATTTTTTTAATCTGTCTTCTCTTCAGTATGTCCACCAACGTTTGCGAATTTGGCCGTAGAACAAATCAGAAGTTATTCGTTCTCTGATTGGCTAGCATCAGGACAAGGGAACACTATTTATAAATATATGAATATATATATATATATAAATGACTGCCCATAGTCATGAGTCCAGAACGACACCGTTAGCGTTTACTTTTCGATTTTCGAGACCAAACGCGCATCAAACTGTTCGGTTTCAGAATCCTGTTTTGTACCAAGGTACGTGATGTGAGCGTAATTTTGTTCATACTGAAATGATAAATTATTTCTGCTGGTGGATTATTCAACACGAACCAAAGTTTTCTCTGATATAATTTGCTTCAAATTATGAACATATTGTTATTCTGAAAATGTTATTCTCACAACTGAACCATAGCTGAGCAGAAAAGCACATCAGGAGCTCACGCAGATTGCCTTAGTGAACAATTAGGCGGTAAGCAGGAACCAAATTTGAGGGTTGTCTGAACTAAGGAGGTTTATGAGAGCAATCAACGACTTACAATATCTTAGACGGTATGGTTGAGATCATCACTGGCATAGTTTGCACAGAAATACATCTTGTAGTGCTAACTCTATTTAATTTACATCATTTTTTCTAAAAATAATGGGATGTATTTTAATATTGAATACACATATTATTCCGGTAATCAATGAACACCCCATGGAACAACGTGATCTACATGAGAAATGAATTGCTAGACAGATGTAGCAACTGTATTCGACATATTACATATATATATATATATATGTATATATATATATATATCCCACGCAATTTACTGAACCTCCTTGTTTAGGTTGTTGTTCCCATGTGGGTTGTACAATATAATATTTTCCTTATTTCCAAAGGTTTGAATACCTTTCGTTGGATCCTTGCGGAGACCAAAATACCATCTCGTTAATATTTATTTCACATTGAACAATTTCTTTCACAAATTGTACTTTAGTTTACATTGAACTATAAGAAAAACTTAGATAGAAAATTATGCCTCAAATAGCTTTTCAGTAACGATAAGAATATACAAACCATAAAATAAGTTAGCATTAATGAACAGTCCTAAGCAGTTTACGACGAATGTCTGCCTAAAAGCTGAATGCGAAATCGAGGAATGCTGTAAGAGTTAGGTGACCGTCCAATGTGATGTTGTTGATATTTAGGAAACTTGCGTCGAACAACCTTGAGATAAATCGGTCCTTGTCAAGCAGGTAACCCAGTGAAAGCATTAAACAATTTGGTTAGTTCGGATACTTGTGAACACAGAGACATGAGAAAAAAGTAATTGATCTTCACATAGTGCTCAAAACCAAATGGTAAATGTTCCATAGATATTTGATTTTTTCAAATATGTCAGTGATAAAACTTTTCCAGTTTCGAGAAAACTCTGCTTTATGTTGAACGAACCAATCTAAATCAATGTTCATGGTCTCTGTCGATTAATTGATTTTTTGAATTATCTTTGTTAAAGTTAAAATAAAATTGGCATTGTGGTGTGTCTTTAACTTCAAATCACCAGATCACAAAAGAATTCTATTACAATACAGATAGGAACCAAACGCTTTACCAAAGCCTAATTTGGATAATGAAACCCCAATCAGTAGATACCTCATGAGCATGTAGAGCAAGCTTCGTCATGACGGGTATATGAATGGCCGCACAACAACCTGTTAAAGCCAGGCAATGTTGTTTCAGGTTGTTGATATCAGTACTATTCAACCCATCCAAAGTTGGTAATTCATCGTAGTACACATCCACCCGTGAACTGTTGAAGACGGAAATCTGAAGAACTCCATGCTATAATGAACCACAGAGTTCCATGGACAATTTTAAGCTTTCGCTTCCAAGTAATTGGTTACTTCACTTACAGCTGCATTCGTTGCGAACCGAACTGACCAAACTTTGGTTATTAAATAAAGGACTAACTCGCAGATGAATGTAAAGCAATTGCAGAAGACAAAAATTAAGTGTTTAGAAAAATGGAGTAAGTAAAGCAGGATCACCGTTTATAACACTTTTTTGGTGTTCTGATTCGTCTTTAGTCGGATAAAAATCCTCGTATTAAACACATTGCCCGGAAACATAATGAAACAGATTTTCGGGCATTCGAAACGCTAATTTTAAAAAAAACAATAACTTTATCACTTAGATAGCACCAACAGGCAATCATCAAGCGATGTGTTCTGGTAATGCACAGCCTCAAAGTTGGAGTATTCGAAAAGCTGACAACTGAATCTTCTTTTTCTTATTTATATACCGAAGCCTTATATTGATCGCAGCTTCATTTTTAAAATAAGTTTTCCAATAACTGTTACATGTATATCATTAATAATCTCACTGATTATACGTATTCCAGCTTATCCAATTTCAATTGCTTTTCCTAAATATAGTAAAATAAATACGCAAATTGTTCACTGTGTCCATTGAACCGAGCATAACTGAAATATAGTGGCGCTCTGGTTGGTTTGTATGGCAGCTATAGTGCAGTGACTCCGGTCGAACTGCAGCGAGTGCATATTCAAATGCTGAACACTCATCTCTCCAGAAAAACTAAATTTTAGACAAAGTTGACTCCCGTTTGAGCTGGTGCAGTATTTTCATTATTTAGGTCACGAATTTTGTATCCATTAAAATTTCTTTTCAGTTTTACATTTGGGGTGCTAACTCACTTTAGGCCAGATTGCGATAAATGGAGTAACCATAGAGAACACCTGCTGTATGATTTGAGCAGAACACATTAGGTGGAGGATAGATGAAAAACCTCTGCACAAATTTGTTCATTGCATCTGGGCTCCCAAACACTCCCGTCCCCGCACGTATTCATTATTGGTACCCCCATAGATAGGCCACTTTTGATATTGTCCATTGTGCTCCAATGGTGAACCATTGAAAGTCAAAGAGAGAGAGAGAGCGAACACGGACTAGCAAATTAATGTTTCATGATAATTTCTATCATTTTTATTTTTAGCTCCAATCCAATAATGTGCTCGATCGTAAAAATCGCACTAATGGCTGCGTTACTTGGTAAGTTCCACACACATCCTTTATTCTCAATTTTTTCAGCTAATTGCTCTGATCTAAAAATAAATTATGAATGCTAAAGATAGTAATTTTTCATGGCGGTTTGTACTTTTG